CTTATTCAGGCCTGGCTTATCCATACAATGAATTTTGGTATTTCGTACTACGAGCGCGACAAACGTACACTTTCGGACAACTAAGTAGCTGAAAGTTAAATTTATCGATATGATGCGATGTATAGAAAAGGTCCAAGATATGGAGTTTGTTGAACTTCCTTCGACTGGTTCTTGTTCCCTGTATGTCACCGCTTGAACTAGCGTTTTGTTATATATACCTTGTAGCTTTAGTGGCTAGCTGTGGCTAGCAGATCCCATCGCTGGTAAAATCCATATTTCACGCGATTTCATCCAGCTTGCGCTCCCATAATCTCTTGCCCTATCTCCATATCTTTAATGCGCAATGAGAGATTGTGGCTTGTTGTGCATAAGACGTCCTCTGCTGTCATGTTGAACTCAAGTGTTTGCACACCTTTTGTGTGCCCTGCTAGAGTCAACGAGGGGTCGCTTGGCGCGTCGGATGTGTCTGCGTTATTTCACGGAAGAGTTTTAAGATTACTGTGGAGTCAGCTGACACGATTGCAAGCACACTGTATTCTGTCCATTGAGCACTGACACAGCGCCATGTTATGTCTCTCCAGTAGTACCAAGCTTTTTTATCAGTACGGACCCACCTACATCAACAATGGGCGCTGCCCGATAAGTCGTGTATGCAACAATCGCGCGTGACGCTCGCGTAGAGGACGCGTTCCGCTCATCGTCAATGTAAACCACGTCGCTGGTGCTTCCTTACATTGCACGTAGTGCATTAGCTGATGCCCATATCCCAGCCGTCGCGCTTTGTTCGAAAGCGCGACTGAATCTACGCTTGTGGCGGATCCTCTCCTATCGTCAGCGTGTCAAGCGTAGTAGCAGCAACATCAGTAAATTGAGATTAATCAGACTTTGTCATTAAAGCTTCGAATGCACCCTTCGTGGTAACACGTAAAGTCACAGGTGTGGTGTCTGAACTACCTGGGCAATCACTGACCCGTTGCTGTAGCATTAGCATTCCAAGGGAGCCAGAAATCCGTTTTGTTTTGCGAACAGTGGCCGTGCCAGTCTTGTGCCCTGGCTCAATCCACTTTTTCATGCCTAGCCCTCGGATTGTCTTGGCATCAGACGCAAACTATGATGGCGCACTCGACGAAGCCAGTGACGACAACGCCTGGCCCCAACCTGACATTCGCTAACCACTACTTCAGTCGCGGCACTAGTTGCTGCAGCTCCTCAACCAGGCCCACTTGCTGTTGGACATCCAAACATACTTTCTCCATATCTTCGGCACCCTTAACGATTGGTGTCACATCATCCAGCTTAGGCTCAGCACTAGAAGCAGTCAAGGGAAGCTCTACATACTTCACACCTAGGACCTTCGACACATAGCATAATGCAGATAAATTTAACTTTCAGCTCATTAGCTGTCCGGAAAAAACCGCTTGACGCGTTTGCATTACAAAATACCAAAATTCGTAGTACGGATTAGCCCCGCCCGAAATGAAAGAGTATTCAGGAAAACGTGCAAGTGCATTTAAAGTCCCCGATAGATCTCGGTCACTGTTTAGTCCATCACGTGCCTGCATCAATGCGTACGTGTGTGACTCGCACTCCCTACGAGGTCGCAAACAGTGATCTATCTGATCAAGGAGTGCCCCCTTTAACAATATGCGAACCTATCTTCAAAGAGGCGTAGCATACATCGCACTTATTTCGACGTTTAAGGCACACCTAACATCATTTGCAGACGGACAAACTCGCTTAAAGGTAGAAAGTAGGTACTGAAAAGTTCGGTATTCCCCTCGTGCACAACCACTAATAGATTCACCCTTCAATCGCTATGTTTGTTGTTGCATTCACGCTCTGAGCACTGCAATTCTCATGCCTGAAAGAGAATCAGAAAACCGATGATAGTTTTGCGTGGTAAATTGTGCACACGGTGACCTTAAGAACTCTTCTTCTTGAGTTTATTTGAAGTGTGGTAGCTGTAGCTGAAATCGATCACAGCAAATATACCGAGGGGGTTGCAGAGTGCAACCAATGCCCCTGACATAGATCTGAATGGCGTTTCACCACGTGCAATGGTCATCCCAGCACCAGTCCTGTGAATAATCCTTGGTGTAATCCCCTCTTACGGCCTGTTAAGATTAGCCCAAGATCCTAAACAAATTCTAGCAGCCATCCAAGGCTGATGGTACTACCCGAAAACCCTGGTACCATTGAGCTGTAGCCTCTCGAAGAAGCATGAACCCCCGATGGCAAACAGTCCGGGAGACTCCTGGTCTGGATGGCATCTAGAAAGTGGGCTAGTAACCGGTCCTTTGCGCGACATGATAGTCGCGAGACGGTCAAGGGATGTGTAGGCCCTACTAAAGTGGAAGGTGGTAGGTTGGTTGTACTCCCAAACGAAATCGATCTTCCTAAAAAGACATAAAACTACTTGATCCCGCCATTGATGATGATACTCCTCATCGTCGTCGCAAGAGCTCATTTTACTCACACATTTAATCGAGTGTAAGGAGGCCTTGACCAGCATTTTTAAAGCAGCAATTGCGGTATCTCTGTCTCGCATCTGATCGTGCTGTGTCGGGATCCTCTATTACGAAGTGGTACTGTATTGAACGGCACCCAACCTACCGATGCCGCGCATTCAATGAATTTCGCTTGCTTGGGTCAGATGTGCACTAAACATTTCAGGTGCAGCCGCCTTTACACCTTTTATCAGCGAAAGTACAAGAAAGTGGCGTTTGTTTATGAGAGTCCGCGAATATCCCATTTGCCTTATCATCTCCGCGCACATGGCACAATGATGAAAGATTACTAGAGTCGGAGCAAAACAATCAAAATATCATTGTGACAATATAAAAGTGCCGACTCTTTACCATACGCCCGTACCGGTCGTTTTACTTGCAAAACTCAATCCCTCTCGCACGTGGTAAATTTAGTGATCTAGAAGCGACGTTGCGTGGCTGACGCCTTTATAAGTAAAAGCACAACCTGTCAGGAGGTCGGATTATTGCGATTGATCAGCTTCGAGATTTCTGGACATAGGGCACACTGAAGGAAGCCTCGAGGCTGCCCACCTAATCTATCGCAGATGAAGAGTAATGGGATGCAATCGTCCTCGCAGTGGCAAAGCCTGACTCATATTCTTGCACTGGCACCGGACGGTCTATGCCATGCTGTGAATCTTCATCATGGCATGACAATATACTCACCGACCGCGGTGTTTAATATGTGCATCCTATAACGTCGGTCGTTCTTACAACGACTGCATACGACTGGCCATGATGTCATGTGTAACTCAGTGTAACACATGGATCTATATAAAGTGTCTTGGTTTGGCTTTGCTTGGGTAGAAGGCGAAGAGGCAGTACTGATCGTGTCGCTTAGCAAACGTTAAAACTTGCATGTAGATTGAGATGAAGGAGATAATCGGATGTAGAAAGAAGCTGAATGAAACCGCGATAACTTTTAATGGAAGCAGATTTCCATCTCTTGCTCTTTAAGCGGGATCATATGCATTCGTACACCGTTACCGATGAGAATAAATGCATGAGTAGCTAGAACGAGCTTTGTGTCTTTAGCATTGATAAAAGATCATTGCGGTGGTGTCATGCGGTATGAGGTAAAAATGGCGGACATTTGGCCAATCACTTGACCGTGTTTGTGTCACATGCGCATTTACCGCAGAACCTGACAATAAACCACGATGCAAGATTCGATGGTCAATGCGCGTGCTAGGGAAATAGATAAGGTCTGCTGATTTTATAGATACTGGATAATGATTACAGTCAAAATGAATTGGAGGACAAAAAAAGATGCGAGCGTCGCTTCTTTAAAGCTCACAAGAGCGAGACAAATGGAAACTCGAAAGTGATCAGACGGTTGGAGTCTCAACATCTGAAGTACTCACGTTGCTACCGTCTATCCAATAGCATGGTACATCTCTTCTACCGACGTAATGGAATTCCACCAACACACAACGCATTGGAATTGCAACCAAAATGCATTCGGCATCGTGAGTAGGAACTGTACCCGTCAACGACAATTCGTGTAGGGTGAATAGACCCTTTCGATCGATCATCGAAGACTCATAATGTGTCATGGACGAAATGTACGTCCTACCGAACGAGAGCACGTTATCGTCAGAGGACCGCAGATGCAGATGCTGATGTGCGCCTTGAGATCGACCATACGATTTAGTGCTCTGTCTGGATAACCGTGCGATTCAATTCTGACTGATATCCTGTACGAGCGAATGCCAGCCACTGCTAGGTTTCAAACGAACACGTCTTCAAGCGTCCAGTTTAAGCCGTCCAGAAAACCTAGTAGCCATAACGACACTGCCGAACCCTTAAGGCTTGACACACTCGATCAATAAAGTTTCATAATTGCATGGGTTCCGCAACTTGTCGTGCTTCTGCGAGGCATGTAGTCGGTCTAGATGCCGGCGGGCATATAACTTACCAGCCGGTACTTAATATGCTTCGCTGTTCACATCGACCCGGGGGACAGCATTAGCCAGGAGCCTCGGAATGCAACATGGGCCTGATTGGGGTCGTCACTCAAATAAACAACAAATGATTCGGCCATACCTCCATGTTGTCTACGATCTCGTCAAAGGGAGCTATGACGTACGACAACCAGGCCTATAATATGAGACCAGTGCCGTTCGGATCCACTCAAAGCAATTGCAGACTCTTGACGTGGGCTTTGCCGGCAATACAACCGCCGACCCAAACGAATCCATCCACTCGATCTCCCTCACGTATCGCTCGTTCTATCGAAAAAATAATCCACTCATTCTCACCTCAATGCTCCGGGTAACACTTATACACATCGATGTGTTTTGTTGTGCGGGGCAATCGCGTCAATGTGCTCCTTCACACCTCTTCATTTTTGGCAGTCACTGGCAAGCAGTCACTGGCAAGCAAACACATCCAATATCGAGCTTCGGGGTCTGGTACCGCGTGCCATGACCGCTTGCAAGCCATGATAGACTAATGACCAGAACTTCCAACTCAAGCTCCTTCAGGTGCGTTCTCCTGAGCAGCCTTCTGCCACGGCGTGTGCACGTTGCCCACCGTGAGCAAATCCTGACGAACGTTCTTTACAAGTCGCAAACGCCGGTTCTCGTTAAATCCGTTAGGGCACATCTTGGTCTTAAAGTCGACTAGCGCTTGGTTAAATACCTTGATACTCGTGCATACACCATACGCCTCAAGTAAGCGCTGCTTATCACTGCCTTGCTTGGCCAGCGACCAGACGCTCGCAGGCGGCGAAGCCAGCAGCCACGAGTCGCACGCAAACAAGTTGTGAGGCAAAAGCTGCTTGTCGAACAGCCATACGAAGCCGCGGTCATCACTGGCTTCGTACGGCTGGCGCATATGCAGCAGAGGCGGCGCTTCGCCCGGGATAACCGGAGTCACAGGGTCCGCACACGGATCCCCCTTCATGATACGGACAAAGCCAGTATAGTCATTCACCTTGTTCCCAAGCGCCAAGTTGTCAAACGTCGTGTGTTTCACTTCGTGCTTTGCTGCAGCAAGCGAGTATCCCATCATCTCGCTCATCCAGGACTCGCGGTTCATTTGCTCACGTTTGAGCACCGTCATGTTGCAGTAGTCGTCCATCAGCTGAGTCAGATCCTTGCGTGTGATAGCGTATGGAGGACCGACAGCATAAAACTCGGCAGCATCTGCCTTTGACACCTCTGCACACTCGGGGCAGATTATACTGCTATTTTCAAAGGCCGTAGTGCCCAGATACTGCGACCATCGCTGTGCGACCGCGATACCATCCGTCACAGTATCGCTCACATTTTTGCGCGAGCCACTGTACACAAAAAAGCGCTTGTACTGTCGCATGCCTTCAATAACTTCAGCGTCGTGCACATAGTCTCCCGAGTCTACGCCCTTTGCAGAAGTGACCCGGCCGCCAGTGTTCACTGCAAATTGCCGGATGAACAGAAAGTCTGGGTCCAGCACGACAACAAGGTCCTCACGCACAGGAGGATTGGCAGATTCTAGCCAGTCGCGAAGTCCAAACGGCTTGTTGTATGGCACATAATCATCGGGTATCGAAGATTTCTCCGTCTTGTCGGAAGCCTCCATATAAGCAGGAAGCGAGCGAAAGTCGCGAGTAACGTGGATGCGCAGGTGTGGCGCCGACTGGTACGTCCGACGAAGCAGCTCCTTCTCAGCGTCAATCGAGCAACCGCTCACAATGCGCGTAAGTACACCACGCTGACCTACTCGAGCGAAACTCTGCACAAGAGCCTCGCTCTGCCAGTTCTGGTTCGGCTCGCAAGACGTCGTGAATACAAAGTGAAGCTCGCTGCTGTCCTTTTGCTCTGGCTTCAAGTCGCTCTCGTTCAAAACGTCACTGTTCTGCTTCGTCTTGTAGTCACCAAAGTAGACGGGCGGATCTACTTCCATGGGAGAGCCATGCGCGAGAGCGACGGCAGTGCTCCACGTTTTCTCTCGAAACTCCATAGGAATACGACGATTGTGATTGTAGCCAGTAGGGCAACTCCGTGACCGATAGCTCTCCGACGCGCTATTGTAAGCCTCTACAGCAAGACACACACTAATCATGTGACGGCGACGAAGAACGTTAGGAACCCGCTCGTACCCGCTCGTGTGACTCGCGAGGTGCCACATGTAGCCACTCGGCTGGCGCATCATCCACGCATCGCAGGTCAAGAAATCCAAAGGCACTTGATCAGCAAAGAAACTCCATTCGCGCCCGTCAATCCACTGCGGAAGCGTAAAGTTCAGTGCACGGATCGAAATCGGGTACGACGAAAGTGCCAAATCGTTGCCCTCTGCTGCTTCCGTGCACGGATTGTGCTTGACGTCGTCCGAGAAGTCCCAATTCTGGTACCGCGACGGGTAATGGTGGATACTGAGCACACTCGAGATGCCAATGACCGTCTTGAAATGTGCCGCCGCGATCGGCAGAGCCAAATGCCGCTGCTCCGGCGCGAGTTTCGTCCACACGTCCACCGCCGTGGGCAAGATCTCCTGCCACGCACCTGCTTCTGCTATAAACGGGGCAATGGCCGCGTACTCGCGCCAGTCCTTGAGCTGCAGCGCGTGCGAGTCCGTCGGCACGAGGGTCGCCAGGAGCTCCGTCGGTAAAGGGAACGTCAGCGGCCAGTACCAGGACGCGTCCTGCCCGAATATCCGATGAGCAACGACGTCCTTGGCTTCTTTCACGAGGCTTTCCACCGTCACGTGCTTCGTGAAGATCGCGTCGCTGTCGACGGCCATCACCAGCTCGTCAGGAGCCGCCCATCCCCGTCGAAACTGATCGTCGTCGTCGTCGTCGTTCGTCGTCTGATGACTGGACTCCGATCTGAGTCTTGCGGCTTCCTGTTGTACCCATTTGGCCAGCACCTCCACGTGCAACGTGGTCGTGACGAGCTTCTCCCCGAACGTCGTGCGCGGAGCCGCTGCGACCTCGGGGAACGTCCTCGTCTGCACGCGGTGCCGCGGATCTTTTCTGCGCGCGAGCGCTGCTGCCTCGTCTGCGGCGCAGCCGTAGAGCAGGTGAGTGATGGTCGCGTTGGAGCCCGAGCGGCGGAGCGTGAACGCCAGCACTTCGGCGTGGAGAAAGTCCAGCTCCCGACAGGTGGACGTGAACACGACGTGGGAGAGACGACGCGGCGGGACGGACGAGGACGCGGGAGGGGGTGAGAAAATGCGGAGGGGTAGGGGACGCGATTGCGTCGCGAAGAAGCGGACGTTGAGACACAGGTCGAGCGCGACGACGAGGGTTAGGGTGGCGAGGGCCATGGAGACGATACCTTTGCGGGTGGTGAAGCGCCGGCAGGAACAGGCGAAGGCCGCGCGCGGACGGCGGGACGGGGGGAGCATGGGGAGAGATGAATTGGCGGTGGAAGGGGGGAGGAGCAGTAGCAAAACCGGTATTTAGGTGCTTTTAAATGCGATCGATGCATGTCAGATGAACGATTGGAGTCGAAGGTGCGTATCAGATTTAGAATCTAGGGAACGACGACGACGTTTGGCTACGTCGTAAAATACGGTCGATAGTCGTTCTATTCGGATTAGGGTCGCACTTATCCCCTAACAAAGCTTCAGCCTTATTTGTAGAAGAAATATAAAACATCCTTGGGCGAACGAATCTTGATCAGGGTATCAGTGGTGGTAATGCTCAATTTCTCCCGCAAAATTGTCGAGCGAGAGAAAATCACATTCATCTGGACTGCCACTACCCCAGATGCAAAGTTTTCATAGCCGTTCCTGTCACGTTGACACAGCATGAAGCCATCTCGTATCAGAACTTCCGCATATCCATCAAAGCTACCGCTGCCACGCACGACAGACAACTCACACTAACATAAGCGTAACGAAAAGCATCATATCGACGCAACGATTCTATTGATATGAAAAGCTCCGTCAGCCGTAATAGTAGTACTAGTAAAACGTGTCACGCATATCTCCCTAGAGCGTAAAAATGAGCACAGTCGTCGCTCCAGCTGCGACAGCAGAGAGCGAAGCAGTCACGGAAAAGCCCGCACTCGTGCCCGACTCGGCGCTTCTGCTCTCCTCCTGCTGCGACGCGGACGCGTCCTCGGACCCCAAGACGCTCTGGGCCTCGCTGGCCGACGCCGAGCCCGAGGCACTGGCCGAGTCGCTCGCCGACAGCGAGACGCTAGCGGACGTGCTGCTCGAGCCACTGACCTCCTTGGTCTTGTTGCTCGACTTGCCCATGAGCAGGTCCGTGAGGAGCTCCGCCAAGACGATGGGCTGGTCGCCCACGAGCGTCTCGCACTGGATGAGCGAGTTCGCCTGCTGGTTCAGCTGGTTCAAGTAGTTGACACAGTCGCGGGACATGGTCATGTTCTTCGCCTCGGGCTTCGTCGGGAACGTGCCCATGGAAAACACGTCGACGCCCGTGGCGGCCGCGCAGCTTTTGTGCCAATTGGTGCCGTTCGGGAGCAAACTGCTCTGGATGGCGCCCATGTCGCATGGATCCACTGCGTACACGGCAGAAAGAGCGGCCAGAGCTATGGTGAGGGATGGAAGGGAGGACGGCTGCATGCTACGTGGGTATAGCGAAAGAGCGAGAGAGAGAGAGAGAGTGACGGGAGAGAGAGAGGGCGGTAGAAGCCAGTCAGTGAGTCAGTCCGTCACTTAGTCAGTACTGATCGGGACGGTTGAAATTGCAAAGTGAGCGAAGATTCAGCCAAGTCGTCAGCAAGAGAGTCGGAAACGGGGGCGAGAGGGCGACGGCTTGCCGCACAGACGGTCCTGTTGCTGCACAGTTCTGACCAATCGTTGACGAGAAGAGGAAGCCAGACGATGGAGTAATGCCGCCTGTCCGCTTTTGAGCTGGCTAGAGGCTTAGGTCATCGTAGGACTAAATCTGAAGCGTCATTTATTCTCTCGCGACCGATCCGAGCGAGCCGCAGGGCCGCACAATGTCGACGGATGGAAGCATCACGTTCGTTTTGCTGGCGAAACGGTTGGTCCGTTACATTTATAAACGCAACGGGCGAACAGCACGTACCCGTAGCTGTAGCCGCTATAGATAGACTGAGACAAGATGGCGTCGCTCGCGTCGTTATCGCCGTTTCTAGTCAAAGTAGTGTCAACTTTACAGCGACATGAAACGACGACTTTTTCTTCTGACTGATCGGTCTGTGGGAACAGGAGACACGTCGCTGACGCGCGCTTGTTGTCTGGACGTTACGTGGAGAGGCAGTGTAATTACCGCACCGAGAGAGGAGGGACGGAGGTCGTCAAAGAGAGTCGTAAAGCTTTGGCTGGCATTGAAATGCGTGTCCAGCTCGAGCGGCTCCCTTTCCTCCGTCGCTCGTCGTTGAGACTTTGTGGGTTCTGCCCCGAAAGAGGATCTAGCATCCGCAAAGAGGTCACAAGGAGCCGTTTAAGTTTGCTCGACCAAGTTAACGTGTAAACCTCTAACCACTCGACGATGTTTGCTCGCGCCCATCTCGCTCTAGAGCTAAAGAGTTCATGGCCACTACTGTACCGACAGAGACGTAAGTGCATGTGCAGAGGTCAACAAGAGCCGCTTAAAGTTGTGTCGCCAAGGAGAGAAGAGTCAACTCGAACGACGGCACCTCCCTATAGACCTTCGAGTGTTATTTACGGTTACTAAACCCCGACACGAGCTGCCATCGCGAAACGGCCCATGCCTTTACGAGCACACGCACCGCATGGCTACTAAGACTCGGTCTCTCCTCTTCTCCGTCATGGTAAACACAGCAGCAACTTCTGCTCTCCTCACTTTCCAACTTCACTCGCATCCTGCACTCCACTTCCCACGTCCTGCCTTCAAACAACGATGAAGACCTCGTTCCTGTCCACTGCGGCTCTTGCCATTGCCATCACTCGCTCGAATGCCGCGGAATGTGACATGGGCGAGATCGAGGGCAAGCTCTACTCGAACGCCACGAAGGGACTCGCCAATTGCAAGAATGCCACGGGCATTGACATTTTCTCAGTCAGCGAGTTCCCTACACTCGAGCAGGTCACAGACTTGTCGGAGAACGTCGACTGTGCCGACTACTTGAACCAGATCAACCAGGTGGCCAACACCGAGACCCAGTGCAACGTTACGATTGAGGGCGTCGAGATCAACTTCGGCACACTCATTGCTAGCTTCCTGACAGGAAAGACTGGCAACGAGTCGGACTCCGGTAGCGGCTCCATCGAGGTCCCAAGCGCCAGCGACTCGGGCTCGGATTCTTTTGAACCGACTGTCGTCCCGAAGTCTACTGGTTCGAATGGCGCCACGAGCGCATCTGCTCTTTCGTTTGTCGCCTACTGCGTTGCTGCCACCCTCGCACTGGCGTTGCAGTAGACGAACGAACAGAGTCGAGTCAAGGGAGGGCTGCAGTCTCATTGCGTACAGCTTTCGTACCGTTTTTTATTTTCCGAATAGAGATCCGTTGGGAACTTGCTTTTGACGTCCATCTCCGCTGGTTCTTTTGCTTCATCATGTGCTCAGCAGCATCCTGTTCTCTAGACTCGAATGAAGGTACCACCAGTCATAATAGTGTGGCAGGCCACTTCCATTACCCGCTACGTCGCCCCTCGCCCGTCACTCAAGCACGCCGTCCTTTTATGTGGTCGTGACTGCGCATGCTTGGCAGCTGCCTAGGATTCTCAAACGACGTGTCTTAAGGCCTAGCAAGACTGCGGCACCTGAACCATCTCGAGCCGACAGGTCGTTGTAGCACAAAAGCATCATCATATCTGTATTTCTTGACGGAACCTACTTCGGAGAGGATGAAGTGCACGCAGCCGCTCTCTAGCGTCGCGCGGACTCCCACTCACAAGCACGTGGCACGAAACTGCGGCTCGAGCGACGAGTCCACTGTCTTGTCGATCAGCGACAGCAGAATCGTCTGCACGACTTTGATATAGTTGTAATAGTACTCGCCCTTCTCGTTCAGACTCTCGGTCTCCGTCCCGAGCATATCCGTCAGGAACTTGGACACGAACTTGCTCATGCCGTGCACGACGTACGAAATGTCGTTCTGCGCGATCGCTTCCCAGTCCAACTTGAGCTTGTTGATCTTGGCGTTTTTGAAGTTCTTGTAGATCGACGAGTACACGGCCGAGATGTTGCCGCTTAGAGCATCGACCGTGATCGTGCTCGTCGTCAGGTTTTGACACGCGGACTCGGGGATGCTCGGCGCGCACTCGTACAGGTTCGCCTCGACGTTGGTCAAGATCCGCGGCTTTTCGACCGAGATCGACATGTGAACCGTGACGAGCTGCGGCTTGCACTCGCTCGGGTGCAGCAGGTCGACGACGCAGAGTTGATACCACTCGCGCTCGGGCAGCGCCACTGCGAACGTCATAGTGCCCTGAAGGGCGACAGTGCCCGTGAATTCCGCCCCTAGATTCAGTGTGTTGGAGCTCGTGACGTTGACAGGATAGGGCGCGATCGTCGTGATGCCCGAGACGTTCATCCAGTTGAACATCGGCGTCACTTGGAGGTTGTACCCAAGGTAGGAGTAGTTGAGTGGAGCGAGCGCCACGTTTTCGATAATGAGTGGGTCACTGACATACGGCGACAGTAGCAGAGGCGATGCCTTGACGATGCTAAGCAGGTTGTTCAGGCCAATAAAGTCGGTTGTCGAGGTCTTGAAGTCGGCCAGCACACAGGCGTTGTCGACTGTGAGCTCTTTGGCGTTGTCGCTCGCAACGTCGTCGTTCTCTGCAGGTCGCACCTTGCCGCTGCTCACTGAGGCGGTCTGGTCACCTTCATTGGCAGCGGAGATGACGCCGACAAAGATGGCGGCACTTACAGCAGCGATGAGTTCGATACACTTGACCATCTGAAGTGAACGGGACAGCGGAGACCTGAATGGAGTCGCGCAGATTCGAGAGTGCGGGTCTGATCGCTATCCACTTCCTTGAGCAGCGAATCCGGTTGCACATTGTCCCATTGCACAACGAAGCTGAGACCATGACATAAGTCGGTCCGAGACGGGTACATCTGCCGAGAACCTGGTCGAATCTGGTAGAAACCAGGTCGAGCAGGGAACGTAACACACACGGGCAACTGGGCGTCAACAAACCAAGTCGGCACGTGCTGATTCTATGACAAGATACGTCCTACACTGGATGGTGCTGGAACTGAACTGACCGCCATTCGAGCAGAGACGTACGGGCTCCTGTCGTGCCGTATCTGACCATGCAGAGTGGTGCGGTGTGTGCGAACACCCCGAAGCTGTTTCTCTCGGGAGTATGGGATCGCCTGGTATTGACCATTTGCAGAGACACCAGCGACGTCTCCCTCCTCAACTGTTCTCCATCCAGCAGTCCAGCACGGACTCTCTCTGGTTCTAAGGATGATCGCAATCTATTCGTTCTGTCCGCGATGCTGTCTTGAAGCTGCTACCACCCACCCGATCGATTGCTGCTTTTACAGCTTAGTTCGACCTCAAGGCCGTATGGCTCAAAGACTCGCTAGCTGCGAAACAGTTCAGGCATTGATCCATCGTTGCGACTCGCCAGCTTGAAGCAGCTCGTATTGAAGGCAGATGATGGTGCCGACTAGACAATACGTCACAAAACCCGGCGGTGACCAACCATCGAGACCTAGGGCGACCGCGTACAGGGAAAACGAGCATGCTACTCGTCGTGCTTTGTCACATGCTGACTGCCTACTACCTCTTGCACTGGCCTGAACTCATGTATCTCGACGACGTGCTTGCGGTCTTGCCTTTGCATGACAATCCTACTACTTCCCATCTATACCCCTCGCCACTTCAGCTCCTTGACACAAAAAAGCCACGAAAGCTCGCCGTCTGCGTCGCAGCATTCGATCAGATGGATACAGCATCCAACTCTGTCTCGCATCCATTCAATCGATGATAGAAGAAGCTACGGACTGGCGCTGTGCTCGTGTATCTATTCTCGAGATACCTGGACGAGCCGGAAACATGGCATCAACGGGTCAACTCAATGTCAATGCAACTCTCGTCTCTCTGTCTATCTCAGCAAGCAACGCCCCTGAGATTTAGCGAGTGCACTGTATCGCTCTCAGTTGAGAGCACCAAAACATCTATTGAGCCGTAGCCCTAGCGATCTGTGTCGTCTGGTTGATTCTACAGAGGACTTTTCGTGGCACAAAGTCACGCTTTGAATCGATCGGCCTGTGTTGAGAACGACCGTGCCAAAATGAACAAGCGTGGCAGATCTGTCAGCATCAAAGCCGCGCCTTGATACTTTACCCGCCCGACGAAGACCATGCCGCACATGAGCATTGACACGTACGTTCCTGCAACGACTAATCAAAAGCGACGACTTTTGACGCAGCCTATGAAATTAAAAGCTGGAGATAAAGGTGTTACGAAGAGTTCAAGCACGTTAGCCACTGCATCAAAGATGAAAAACGACCACTCCGATGTAGCAGACAGTAGCTCATTAGAAGAAGATCCATGATATTATGTTCTTTGACATCCACATTTTATTGATACAGCATTGATTCCGTTCCGGAGGAAGTCACGCACCAGGAAGATACCCAATTGACGAGATCCTCTTCATCTTCTTGCTGAATCGTCATGAGATTGAAAATGCCAGGAAATACACAACGGTCAGTATTATCGAGGGGGGGCTTTGTTATCCGCTAGCCTCCATCTGAGATATTGCTGCGTATCACACCTGCCGCGCAGCGCTGCGAAACTTACGAAGCTGAAAGCCTTTGTCAACAGATACACACACCTGGCCCCGAAGATGTCAGCTTGAACAAGTTCTACAGTACTATGAACCCACTAGCTGAGAGTGCACTACAAGTGCAAAAGGATACTACCCACCGACATGGCGAGACAATAGCCTATACCGGGATGTATAACATGTTGGACAACACGCATACGTCGGCAACGAGCACAAGAACAAGTAAAAAGTTGTCTCGAAAGCAAAGCAGCCTCGTTGAAGATATTCGAAATGAATTGTGGAGTATATTTATAAGTTGACTTGTCGTTGCTCCCAAGCCTGCTTGCATGCGTTGTACAACCCCTTAAGTAGATGTTATTGTTGGGCTAAGATAGACTGAATCAATGGCAAAGCGGGGTGGCAGTCGTACAGTCACACAATCATCTCGGCAATCCAGCTCATGCTCTTGCGTCTGGATGCTACTTTATAGTCTTCGTCGAGCACTCGGTACTCATTTAACTCGTGCATACTGCATGGGCAATGCAATAACCAAGCACCAGCTCCAGTGTAGACCAAAGCGTTCAGAAAGCGCAAGTCTTAGTAATAGATCAAAAGCTGTACCATGGCGAGAAATAACAGTGCTTTGTGACATGGTAGCCAACTTTACGACCGACAAAGTTGCGGCTACGATCCTCATTTTCCGCAACCGGGAGATTAGCACGGCCGAATGTAGACCGAAAAATCACCACGTGCGGCGCGAAATGTACTGCCATAATGGTGTTCTTTCGAGGCCTAACACAAAGGTGCTAACAACCTCAACATCATACTGGAGTAGTAGTAGCTTGTGTATTTTTTCCGCCCTATTAAAAAGAAGTCAATCCGCTCATGCTACTGCACGGCGGCTGTAGGCCTATCGCGCTCCTTAAGATTTTCTTCTAGTTCCTAAGAAATGGGTCACGATATGATCCCTCCCCCACTTTGTCATCAGTACTCATTGCCGATCGTTTTGACCGATACTAAAAACGACGGCTCCCCGCATTTGCACAGCAATAAGCACTATTTTACCAGCCACAAAAGCGATTCATCGAGATCATTGCCTCCACGGAGGCTGCAGAGGAAGCCAAGGTCTTTGATTTTCTACCACCACGCGCTCACAACTGCAACGAGATGGTCGTCGTCCTTTTTTCGGTGAGCACGAACGAGCGCGATCACGTACGCGGTTTGCCTTGGACTGCTGATCGGCTCCTGCAAACCCGGGTTCTTGGTCCTTATCATCGCTACCATCATTGCTATCATCGGATTTACCATTCGTTTGTTCTCGGAACAAGAAGTGCATAAACTGCTGGAAGATCTTTAACTCGCACTTTCTAAAAATCTAGAAGCGCTTATGACTGACCCCAAGTTGGGGTCGTGGCAGTGATGCTGGAAAACGAAGCGCGTCGCTACACACGAGCTGTAGTCGACGCATTTTGGACGACGGAGAATGAGCGGTAAGTGATAAGAATGAGCTGAAGGAGGAGGCCTGGCGGTAGTGCATTCGTGGCCAGGAGTGCTTTGACACATGTTTCCAAAACTCAAAACTCATGATTACCGTAAGGCGCCGTCAGAGTTGAGCGGCTGTGCTGCCAAAAGCATCATACTTTTTTTTACGTAACCTACTTGACAGGGAATAGAATGGGCACAGCCGCTCTGCGAGATATGCATGCCACCTACACAAGTTTATCATAGAAAGCGTGCGGTGTGTTTCATCTAGTCCTTGTCCATCATGGGTCTACTACATCAGTCCGTCTCTGTAACGGGGTGAATCGTTACATAACAATTTATAAGAAATTGTTAATAGAATATAACTATAAGAGTTATATTCTCAGAATATTGTCATAAGGACAAATATTCTGTAGCACTTACAAGTAGTTCCTAATTGGTTGATATGGGCCATTATATCAACCAACGAAGACGCGCCACGACAGACGCACGCAATGAATGGTGAGCAGATAACTGATTTACACATTTGTATTTAGACATAGTTAGATGAAGATAAATAGTGATTTATTAACAGACATTAACTATTATAAATACAGTTCTACTTTTTACTTTAACCAAGTACTCGCTTCTTCTTACCGTCTTCCTCTGCACGTACGAGTGTACGTGAAGTTACGAGGCACCGCCTTATTCTGTCATCAGAATAAGTAGCTTGTACTGCCACCAGTACAAGCTTGAGGGTGCCCCGTTACACCTGGTAGCACTTCGTAGTCCGTCCAAGGACCGCGTTCACATCCAACATGAATATGTTGGATGATGAAGATGACCAAAGCTTTCACGCTACGCGTGAGAGCTACTCCCATTTGAGCGATGTCGAATGGGATGCGGTTGAACGAATGGGTTCGACCATGGGCATCCATGCTGTTAGCGTCATGCTAGAGGCTCTCAATAGAGATGCCCAACATGCTACTATCGCCAAGTTCATTCAAAATGAACTTGACGCAGAACGCGAGAAAGTAGCCTTGCTTCACCAACAAGGTTCTCAACAAGCAGAGTTGTTGAGAGAACAAGGTGCTCAACAGTTTGAACTGTTGAGACAGCAGCAGGCTGCTGCTGGTGGGTCGATGCACTCGCGTCGACCCGAGACTTTGAAGATTGACATCTCAAAGTATAGGGGGTCGAAGAAGACTCCTTCTTGAGATGGTTCGTCGAATTGGATGACGCCATGAGGGCGCGTCGCATCGACGACGGGGATATGCAAGTTGCATTTGCCCAGTCAAATCTGGCAGGACGTGCCAAGACTTGGGCACTGGGGCTCAAGCTGCACGACCCATATGCGTTTGGGTCGTTGGAAGTCTTCAAGTCGCGGCTCAGACAAACGTTTGAACCGCCTAGAGCTGAGTTCAGGGCTCGAACCGAACTCTTGAAGCTCAAGCAGGGTAAGCGTGATGTGCACGCTTACGCTCAACATATACGACATCTTACGAGTTGTATAAGTTCCAATCCAGTGGATGAACACACGTTGGTTTCGGTGTTCATGCAGGGTCTTGCGGATGGTCCCGTCAAGACTCACCTGTTCCGGCTTGAACTAGATTCACTAGAACAAGCCATTTCCATTGCGGAGCAGGAAGACTTCAGTCTGAGACAGGCTCGCGCCAGCTCGACATCATATCGTCAACCGAGACGATATGACAACGGAGGTCCAGAGCCGATGGAACTCTGTTATGTAGAGAGCGAGAAGGTTCGCTCTACAGGCTACAAGAAGTTGCAGAGATGCAACAGATGTCAGAAGACAGGACACTACGCTTACGAGTATAGTGCCCCTCGTCCAGTGTCTCGCAACACTGGGCGTAGTGACCGTCCACCCATGAGAAAGGGGCAGGGACGAGGGTCCGCAGTTGGTGCAAAGACGCAACAACGGGAGGGACCGTCAAAAAACGGACAGGATCAGTAGGTGCGGAGCACCCTACTGATCCAGCAACGTCAAGAGAATTTGTAGGCCTCTTGATGAAGGTTGCTCCCAACACACAGACGTTGTGCGTTGCTGCTCTAGGTAATGAGATCTCACTCATTACCTTGAAACTCGAAGTGACGAATAAGTTTTCCCTTCGAGCTCTAGTCGATTGTGGGGCGTCCAACAATTTTGCGCGACGCCAATCGCTAGAAGATGGTCACTTTAAATTCAGTGAATGTGACACACCTCCTACGAGGATGACGGTACGTCTTGCGACAGGCGCATCCGTAACCGTCATGAAGCGTATAGTGAAGATTCACTATACGCTAGAAGATACCCAATATGACGATGACTTTATCGTATTGGATTTGGATGACAAATTTGATGTCATCCTTGGAATACCGTGGCTCAGAAGGTACGAACCACGGGTAAACTGGCAACATCGGACAGTAACGATGCCTGCCGCTTGTTCATCAGATGGCCATCTGATGAGAACGTTTTGAAACGTCCACAAGCGTGGGGGTTCTACTACAGTGGGTGCGATGGCCTCACTTGTGGTACAGTCGTTAGTACGACTGCACAAAACCTTAGTGTACCAAACGGTTACACTTTGGAGGAGGGGTGGTGGGGGTGGGGGGGAGAAACGGCGGCCGCGGCCCCCCCCCCCCCCTCAATTAGGTGGGTGGGCTGGGACAAAGATGTATCCCGGGGAGGGAACAACGAGAAAACATCGCTCGCGTGGGTTGGGCCGAAAGATCATCCTTGGTTGGCGGGGGGGGCGTTTGGGGGGGGGCTCTGGGTGGGGGTCCCCCCCCCCCTGGAGGAGGGAGAGGGAATAATTAAATTTTAAAAATACGGGGGAAAAAAGTCCCCCCCCCCGGGATAATCCCCCGGAAGACGAAGGAATGAGTCCTTCACCTGGGGGGATATCCCAGGAAAGGGAGGTTTGTTTAGGGGGGTGGGGGGTTTTCCCCTGTTTTGCCCTGGTTGTGGGTTCGGGCGGGGGGGGGGTGGGTGGGTGGGGGGGGGGGGGGGTGTTGGGGGGGTGTGGGGGGGGGGGTGTTTTGGGGGGGGGGTGGTTTTGGGGGTTTGAGGGAGGGGGGTGGAAAATTTAAAAATTTGGGGTAAGGTTGGGGGAAGGGGTAGGGGGGGGGGGGGGGGGGGGGGGGTGGGGGGGGGGGGCCTGGGGGGGGGGGGGGGGGGGGGGGGGGGGGGGGGGGGGGGGGTGGGGGTACAGGAATTCGCGCCGAGTTATTTCGATGACGTATTCATCCATAGTCGAGCTATGGATGGAAAGTCGGACTTTGAGGTTCACAGGTACCACGTTCGACAAGTTCTTGCAATCATGCGAAAGCATCAATTGTATGCTAACCTCAAGAAGTGTATATTTGCAGCAAGCGAAATACCACTTCTTGGGTGCATCGTTGGTAAGAACGGTGTACGTCCTGATCCCGAAAAGATCAAGGCGATCACCGACTGGCCTGTGCCGGTCGATGTCAAAGGTCTTCGAAAATTCCTTGGCCTAGCGGCGTATTTGCATAAGTATTCACGCAATTACGCCGAGATGACTGTGCACCTCTCTCGTTTGTTGAAAAAGAACGAGAGGTGGTTATGGAACGCTGAATGTCAGCGCTACTTTGAGGGTATCAAGCAGAGCTTGATACAATCCCCAGTCCTAGCAATAGCCGATCAGGACAGGCCATTTCATGTGGTCTGTGATGCCAGCGATTTCGCAATCGGCTGTGCATTAATGCAGTACGATCTTGAAGGCGTTGAACGCGTCGTCTGCTATCAGTCGCGTCAGCTGCAACCAGCTGAGCGGAACTATCCAGTGCATGACAAGGAACTCCTTGCCATGAAGTATGCACTCGCGAAGTTCAGAGTCTATCTATTAGGAGATAGACCCTTCGTTGTTTACACTGACCATGCGTCATTACGCACGGCAGTGAACAGCCCGCACCTTTCACAACGAATGGCGCGGTGGTTGTCATTCTTTGCAGAATACAACTTTACGGTCGAGTACAAAACAGGACGACTTAATGTCGTCGCTGATGCACTCTCACGTCGTCCCGACTTTGAAACAGTCGCGAAACCCAACGGTGAGACAGTCACTGTTGCGGTTATGACGTCCTCAATTCCATCTACAACGTTGTATGATGATGTGAGGCGGGCATACGCCCAAGATGGTGAGATAGTGAAGTTGTTGTCACATCTCTCCCAACCATCCCGAGAATCGTTGAAACGATTGTCGCCTGCGTATCGATCTGCATCAGATCGATACACTACTCGTAACGGTTTACTGTATTATACAGCCGTTTCTGGTGACACACCACGTGTTGTCATTCCAGATGATACTGATCTGCGTTTGCGGATCATGTTCGAGTATCACGATGCTCCATATAGGAGGACATCGTGGCCGAGAGAAATCATATCTCACGGTAAGTCGAGACTTTTACTGGCCCCGCCAGTATCAGTTTGTGCGAAAGTATGTTCGCGCATGCGAGTCTGCCAACGAGTGAAGTCAAGTCCTTCACTGCGTGCACCTTTACAGCCTCTACCGGTTCCGGCTGAGTGCTGGGAATCCATCTCAATGGATTTCGTCTTCGGGTTACCCAAAGACGCACGCGGGAATACGGGTATTCTCGTATTTGTTGACAGATTCAGCAAAATGGTACACCTTGTGGCTGTACCAGAGACAATCACGGCAAGTGGCTGTGCTTGTGTCTTTATTGACACCATCTTCCGACTTCATGGGTTGCCCCGTGAACTCGTATCAGACAGAGATCCACGATTCACTGCTGATTTCTGGCGTTCCGTGTTCAAATCACTCGGAACGCGCTTGAAGATGTCAACATCTGATCATCCAGAGTCGGATGGTCAGACGGAACGTGCCAATCGTGTCCTTGAAGAGATACTTCGAGGATACGTACACTCCTTTAAGAGTTGGAGTGAGTTTTTGCCAATGGTAGAGTTTGCCATCAACAACTCGGTGCATGCGTCCACGACACATACACCGTTTTACGTGAATGGCTTGCGCCATCCGCGTGTACCCACCTTACTAGAGTGTAACTCTGGTTTAAGGGGGGAGGGACTCGCGCGAGCAAAAACCGATTTGGTTCACGCTCATCACGCTCTGACGAAGAAGTCATTGCGTTTGATGCCGATATCGATAACATCGATATCGAAGAAGATGATGCCAGTGAGAGTGCGGAAGCCCTCACTGAAGACAATGATCCCAGCGAGAGTGCGGAAGCCCTCACTGAAGAAAAGGTTGTTGTTGCTGCAGTGCGCTCACAGCACACTGAAGCTAACGAGTCATCAGATGAGTTCATACTGGCTCGTGAAACGGTAGTCCGTTTTGTGCAAGACTCCATCGCCGAAGCGGTGGATAAGCAAAAGCAAAACGCTGACAAGAATGGAAGGGCAAACACTCTTTTATTCAATGAAGGTGACTTAGTCCTACTGTCTACGGTTAATCTACCAAAGCATGTAGTGACTAACTTGGGTAGCAGTAAACTACTACCCAAGTACATTGGCCTTTTCGTGTATTGCACCGCCTAGGCAATGCATACACGATCGAGTTACCACGTAAGATGCGAACGCATCCCACGTTTTACGTTGGTCGGCTTAAGCCGTACCATCAGTACGCTGCTTCTTCCGATGAAGAACGCCCTTGCGCTCAAGCATCTCACAGATGGCCTTGTGCTCCCGATGGTCGATATGGACAAGGGTCTGAAGAGCAGTTATCTTAGCCCGAGACCGGTCAATATCCACACGAGCTACCCTTAGCTCGTCACGCAGAGATGTCAAAGCTCTCTCGTTCTCAAGCTAAGCAAAGGCAAACTCAGCTCGATGCTTCAAGACAGTGTCCGCCATTTGGAGACGCCTATTCCGCTCATGCTCGAGATCGTCGCGTAACCCTTGCGTTACGCGATCAAAGAAGCTCTCGGGAACACACCGATCCACATGATCGTGTGGAGAGCGTCTTTCCTCCTCCTCCACCTCCATTAGAGGACTCTCGCGGTGGCCAGCGCTATCTGGTTGAGCAGCTGTTGAACCACCGCGACGTGAACGGACGTCGGACGAGTTATCTCGTCCGGTGGCGCGGCTATCCCCCGTCCTGGGATTCTTGGGAGCCCCGCTCCCAATTGATGATTGACGTACTGGGTCTGGTTGAGCAGTACGACGCGGCACATCCTGTGCCGCAGAAGGACCGCCGGAGAAAGTCTTCCCGGCACGGTCGTAAAGGGATTTCAGGTTGTCAATCCCTTCGTACATCTCAGTAGAGACACGTACGCGCCACCACGGGCTGGTAAGGAGGTAAGCCTCCTTAGGTGCTCGTGCAGAGTTGTTCACACAACATGGGCACGGGTCTCCCCGAGAGAGGCAGGGTAATCCTTTCTTCCTTGACAGACGATGCAGCTTGTAGCGTGCACCTGTCGGGGTTCGCTTTTCAAACTTATCACGAGCTTTGATAAGTTTGTCGTTCCAAGCGTCACGACCTACATCCTCGAGGTTATGGATGTAGGCGTTCCACGCCTGAAGTAGTGAGGGACCATCACGTTTGTGATTCCCACTGTACCATCGATGTCTGAAGAAAGCATCGATGAAGAACTCATGTTCAGCGCGATAGTCTTTCGCGCTGGGGTCAAGGTGATGGATCCTTGACGAATCGAACAATCGTGTTCGATAACAATCACTCTTCGTCGCCGACAAGTGATCTATGACGGATTTAGGAGGCATCCATGCCTTCTTTTCTGGAGCGAGACGCAACACATTGCGGTCCCGCTCTTCTTGCGACGTGCTGACAGAAGTACTGGCACCTCGTTGCGAAGTGGTGTCCATAGGAGAACCGACACCACTATTAGCGCCCGAGTCTCGCGACCTCGAGTGCCTTCAGTTTGGCGATGGTTCATCTGATGAATCAGATGAACCAAAGATGCTGCGACGCAAAGCATCGTCCATGCCACGCTTGGCAGGCGGCTTAGATTCAATTGCCGTTGATACGGATCCGTCATCCGTATCAGGAGAGTACGAGACACCGAGCTCGTACTCTGTGAAGACACGAGTGTCTTCATGACCAGCGCCTGCGTCACCAAGTGACACAGGCTGGGTCGCTTCAGCAACCGATGGGACATCAGTTGCTGTTGTTTCTGCTTCGGCGTCCGCACAGAGACGTGCAGACGCGTTCTCGGCGGCCTTGCTCGCGCATCGCATGGGCTTGTTAACCATGCGATGAAATGTTGGAAAGTGGACGCGGACCAACAAGTGCAAACCCTGTCCCAAATGATTTGGGACGAGTATCCATTTAGTCAATCAGTCACTAAAGTGACTGATGGTTAAGGGGGGGGTGATGTAACGGGGTGAATCGTTACATAACAATTTATAAGAAATTGTTAATAGAATATAACTGTAAGAGTTATATTCTCAGAATATTGTCATAAGGACAAATATTCTGTTGCACTTACAAGCAGTTCCTAATTGGTTGATATAGGCCATTATATCAACCAACGAAGACGCGCCACGACAGACGCACGCAATGAGTGGTGAGCAGATAACTGATTTACACATTTGTATTTAGACATAGTTAGATGAAGATAAATAGTGATTTATTGCAGACATTAACTATTATAAATACAGTTCTACTTTTTACTCTAACCAAGTACTCGCTTCTTCTTACCGTCTTCCTCTGCACGTACGAGTGTACGTGAAGTTACGAGGCACCGCCTTATTCTGATAACAGAATAAGTAGCTTGTACTGTCACCAGTACAAGCTTCAGGGTGCCCCGTTACATTGTTCTAGTGAATCTAGTTCAAGCCGGAACAGGTGAGTCTTGACGGGACCATCCGCAAGACCCTGCATGAACACCGAAATTAACGTGTGTTCATCAACCGGGTCGGAGCTTATACAACTCGTAAGATGTCGTATATGTTGTGCGTAAGCGTGCACATCACGCTTACCCTGTTTGAGCTTCAAGAGTTCGGTTCAAGCTCTGAGCTCAGCTCTAGGCGGTTCAAACGTTTGTCTGAGCCGCGACCTGAAGACTCCTAACGATCCAAACGCATATGGGTCGTGCAACTTGAGCCCCAGTGCCCAAGTCTTGGCACGTCCTGCCAGATTTGATTGGGCAAATGCAACTTGCATATCCCCGTCGTCGATGCGACGCGCCCTTATGGCGTCGTCTAATTCGACGAACCATCGCAAGAGGGAGTCGTCTTCGACTCCCCGATACTTGGAGATGTCAATCTTCAAGGTCTCGGGTCGACGCGAGTGCATCGACCCACCAGCAGCAGCCTGCTGCTGTATCAACAGTTCAAAATATTGAGCACCTTGTTCTCTCAACAGCTCTGCTTGTTGAGAACCTTGTTGGTGAAGCAAGGCTACTTTCTCGCGTTCTGCGTCAAGTTCATTTTGAATGAACTTGGCGATAGTAGCATGTTGGGCATCTCTATTGAGAGCCTCTAGCATGACGCTAACAGCATGGATGCCCATGGTCGAACCCATTCGTTCAACCGCATCCCATTCGACATTGCTCAAATGGGAGTAGCCGTCACTCGTAGCGTAAAAGCTTTGGTCATCTTCATCATCTAACATGTTCATGTTGGATGTGAACGCGGTCCTTGGACGGACTACAAAGTGCTACCAGGTGTAACGGGGCACCCTGAAGCTTGTACTGGTGACAGTACAAGCTACTTATTCTGATAACAGAATAAGGCGGTGCCTCGTAACTTCACGTACACTAGTACGTGCAGAGGAAGACGGTAAGAAGAAGCGAATACTTGGTTAAAGTAAAAAGTAGAACTGTATATGTCATAGTTAATATCTGCAATAAATCACTATTTATCTTCATCTAACTATGTCTAAATACAAATGTGTAAATCAGTTATCTGCTCACCACTCATTGTGTGCATCTGTCGTGGCGCGTCTTCGTTGGTTGATATAATGGCCTACATCAACCAATTAGGAACTACTTGTAAGTGCTACAGAATATTTGTCCTTATGACAATATTCTGAGAATATAACTCTTATAGTTATATTCTATTAACAATTTCTTATAAATTGTTATGTAACGATTCACCCCGTTACATCACCCCCCCCCCCTTAACCATCAGTCACTTTAGTGACTGATTGACTAAATGGATACTCGTCCCAAATCATTTGGGACAGGGTTTGCACTTGTTGGTCCGCGTCCACTTTCCAACATTTCATCGCATGGTTAACAAGCCCATGCGATGCGCGAGCAAGGCCGCCGAGAGCGCGTCTGCACGTCTCTGTGCGGACGCCGAAGCAGAAACAACAGCAACTGATGTCTCATCGGTTGCTGAAGAGACCCAGCCTGTGTCACTTGGTGACGCAGGCGCTGGTCATGAAGACACTCGTGTCTTCACAGAGTACGAGCTCGGTGTCTCGTACTCTCCTGATACGGATGACGGATCCGTATCGACGGCGATTGAATCTAAGCCGCCTGCCAAGCGTGGCATGGACGATGCTTTGCGTCGCAGCATCTTTGGTTCATCTGATGAGTCAGATGAACCATCGCCGAAGCGAAGGCGCTCGAGGTCGCGAGACTCGGGCGCTAATAGTGGTGTCGGTTCTCCAATGGACACCACTTCACAGCGAGGTGCCAGTACTTCTGTCGGCACGTCGCAGGAAGAGCGGGACCGCAATGTGTTGCGTCTCGCTCCAGAAAAGAAGGCATGGATGCCTCCAAAATCAGTCATGGATCACTTGTCGGCGACGACGAGTGATCGTTATCGAACACGATTGTTCGATTCGTCAAGGATCCATCACCTTGACCCCAGCGCGAAAGACTATCGCGCTGAACATGAGTTCTTCATCGATGCTTTCTTTAGACATCGATGGTACAGTGGGAATCACAAACGTGATGGTCCCTCACTACTTCAGGCGTGGAACGCCTACATCCATAACCTCGAGGATGTAGGTCGTGACGCTTGGAACGACAAACTTATCAAAGCTCGTGATAAGTTTGAAAAGCGAACCCCGACAGGTGCACGCTACAAGCTGCATCGTCTGTCAAGGGAGAAAGGATTACCCTGCCTCTCTTGGGGAGACCTCGTGCCCATGTTGTGTGAACAACTCTGCACGAGCACCTAAGGAGGCTTACCTCCCTACCAGCCCGTGGTGGCGCGTACGTGTCTCTACTGAGATGTACGAAGGGATTGACAACCTGAAATCCCTTTACGACCGTGCCGGGAAGACTTTCTCCGGCGGTCCTTCTGCGGCACAGGATGTGCCGCGTCGTACTGCTCGACCAGACCCAGTACGTCAACCATCAATTGGGAGCGGGGCTCCCAAGAATCCCAGGACGGGGGATAGCCGCGCCACCGGACGAGGTAACTCGTCCGACGTCCGTTCACGTCGCGGTGGTTCAACAGCTGCTCAACTAGATAGCGCTGGCCACCGCGAGAGTCCTCTAATGGAGGTGGAGGAGGAGGAAAGACGCTCTCCACACGATCATGTGGATCGGTGTGTTCCCGAGAGCTTCTTTGATCGCGTAACGCAAGGGTTACGCGACGATCTCGAGCATGAGCGGAATAGGCGTCTCCAGATGGTGGACACTGCCTTGAAGCATCGAGCTGAGTTTGCCTTTGCTTAGCTTGAGATCGAGAGAGCTCTGACATCTCTTCGTGACGAGATAAGGGTAGCTCGTGGGATTGTTGATCGGTCTCGGGATCAGATAGCTGCTCTTCAGACCCTTGTTGATGCCCACCATCGGGAGCACAAGGCTCTCTGCGAGATGCTTGAGCGCAAGGGCGTTCTTCATCGGAAGAAGCAGCGTACTGATGGTACGGCTTAAGCCGACCAACGTAAAACGTGGGATGCGTTCGCATCTTACGTGGTAACTCGATCGTGTATGCATTGCCTAGGCGGTGCAATACACGAAAAGGGCCAATGTACTTGGGTAGTAGTTTACTGCTACCCAAGTTAGTCACTACATGCTTTGGTAGATTAACCGTAGACAGTAGGACTAAGTCACCTTCATTGAATAAAAGAGTGTTTGCCCTTCCATTCTTGTCAGCGTTTTGCTTTTGCTTATCCACCGCTTCGGCGATGGAGTCTTGCACAAAACGGACTACCGTTTCACGAGCCAGTATGAACTCATCTGATGACTCGTTAGCTTCAGTGTGCTGTGAGCGCACTGCAGCAACAACAACCTTTTCTTCAGTGAGGGCTTCCGCACTCTCGCTGGGATCATTGTCTTCAGTGAGGGCTTCCGCACTCTCACTGGCATCATCTTCTTCGATATCGATGTTGTCGATATCGGCATCAAACGAAATGACCTCTTCGTCAGAGCGTGATGAGCGTGAACCAAATCGGTTTTTGCTCGCGCGAGTCCCTCCCCCCCTTAAACCAGAGTTACACTCTAGTAAGGTGGGTACACGCGGATGGCGCAAGCCATTCACGTAAAACGGTGTATGTGTCGTGGACGCATGCACCGAGTTGTTGATGGCAAACTCTACCATTGGCAAAAACTCACTCCAACTCTTAAAGGAGTGTACGTATCCTCGAAGTATCTCTTCAAGGACACGATTGGCACGTTCCGTCTGACCATCTGACTCTGGATGATCAGATGTTGACATCTTCAAGCGCGTTCCGAGTGATTTGAACACGGACCGCCAGAAATCAGCAGTGAATCGTGGATCTCTGTCTGATACGAGTTCACGGGGCAACCCATGAAGTCGGAAGATGGTGTCAATAAAGACACAAGCACAGCCACTTGCCGTGATTGTCTCTGGTACAGCCACAAGGTGTACCATTTTGCTGAATCTGTCAACAAATACGAGAATACCCGTATTCCCGCGTGCGTCTTTGGGTAACCCGAAGACGAAATCCATTGAGATGGATTCCCAGCACTCAGCCGGAACCGGTAGAGGCTGTAAAGGTGCACGCAGTGAAGGACTTGACTTCACTCGTTGGCAGACTTCGCATGCGCGAACATACTTTCGCACAAACTGATACTGGCGGGGCCAGTAAAAGTCTCGACTTACCGTGAGATATGTTTTTACTCGGCCACGATGTCCTCCTATAGGAGCATCGTGATACTCGAACATGATCCGCAAACGCAGATCAGTATCATCTGGAATGACAACACGTGGTGTGTCACCAGAAACGGCTGTATAATACAGTAAACCGTTACGAGTAGTGTATCGATCTGATGCAGATCGATACGCAGGCGACAATCGCTTCAACGATT